AGTAATTGGTTTCTAAGGGATCTCAATATCACTGATCTTTCTTGTCAGGCATTGTTTTAGCGCAAGCCTCTTTAACGGTGACCGAAATATCTCGAGAAGTCCGATCTCAATGAGCGTAGTATCGAGTATCAACCAACTTCAGACTGCACCAAAGCCGGCTATCTCACTACTTCCTAATGGCTAAGTTGGTCAAGTAAAGGTTTTAAAGTCAGTTAGTGCTTCATGACACCATACAACGGCCCCGTATTCTCCTTGACTACTCAAGGGCTACCGGTACCCACAAATGTGTCTCACTAACATAGTTATTTCTTAGACCATGTCGGTATACCCCGCACAGTTTCCACAATGTATTGCTACTTACCTATAAGGTATCCCAAATCCGGGTAGAGGATCAAAACAAGCCCAAACAAGGAACCAAAATGTAAAGCAAACAAGTCAAACAATGAAAGAAAATAAAGGTGATCTAGCCCTAAGGTAACCCCACTTTTAAGTTTTTCCCCAGCAGAGTCGCCAGTTCTGTAATACGGTGGAAGAACTGACTTGGGATGTTTTGCGTTTTATCGCAATTGTTGCGGTTAGCAAGAGTTGCCACCGACTTTTCTTTTATCCAAATAAAGGAAAGGGTGAAAAGAACAGGAAAGACCTTTGAGATTATTTTTCTTGAGTTCGGGGGGTAGATTATGAAAAGGGAAGGTGTTAGCACCCTTTTTATCCATAGTTATCTATGGGCTCTTAGTTGCTTGCTAGATCACTTGCTTTGCTTGAAAAAATGCTTTGTGGTGGTTTTTGAAAGTACTTTTGAAAAGGCGCCTTCGTTTATAGGCAAACTTTGTAATGGTTCTCGTTTTGTAAGAACGTATACAAAGTGTTGGACTTTTGAAAATATTTCATGTTTTGAAAGTGTTTTGTGTTTACTTTGAAAGTGTTTGGTGTGTGTTTTGTTTTGAAAGTGAGCAAGTAACTAAGAACGTTTCTACCTACTCAAAAGTTTTTGTTCATTTCTTCCTTCCTTTGATATTTCTATCTCACCATTGATTGGTAAGAAGCCTTATCTTTGGATGTAAAGGGACGAGCGTGGGTCATCGTATAATCATGATAGCAATGTTGTGAGATATCTTAACATTTCTCTTGAGGGACTAAGATCATTTGAAAGGAAACTTTTGAAGTGTCATCGAGGGACTATGATCTTGTATTTTTGATGGTTTTTGCTAATACGTCTCACATGCATAACATGACCATTTTTTAGGCAACAAGTGGAGTTAACCCTAGAGGTTTAAGTGTGCAAGTGTATTTGATTTTCATACATTGTTTATCTTGAATTAGGGTTTACTACTTGTTGATTTTAGTCTTGCCATACAAACCCTAATTACTAACATTTATATTGAAAGCGATAAATTGCGGAAATGTAAAATTCTACGCTATTACATCATTTGGGGATGGGGACACAATTTATAAATGGGGGATGAAAGCAATAAAGTTCTAATTATAATATTACAATCATATTGAATATTTCAAGATAAAATATGCAAGAATATAAAGGCAATGTGAAAGGAAAATAAAATTGTTTTTTTTTTGTTTATGAAAAGTCTTGATTTAATTAATCTAATAAAAGGAAAGAATTTAATTAATTAAAATCCCTAAATTATAATTTAATTTAATTAGAAAAGAAATTCAAAGTATAAACTAAGTTAAAAATTAATTTAATCAAGAAAAGAAATTTGTTAAGAAAAATGTTTTTTTTAAAGTTTTTAATAAAGAAAAAAACCTAAAAGATGCTACTTTGAATAAATCACGAATAACGAAAATAAAAATATTTTTGGTGAGATTTTTATATATTCATAAAATAGACCTAATAAACTAGTAGTGTGTAAAAAATTAGTTCAAAAGGAGTTAACTTGATGAGTTAAATAAATTGTTGAAGTTTGTTAAAAATATAAAATAAGATTTTGGTCCCGCCAAGGCTTGAACTCAAGATATTCAGGTTGCTGGCTCAAAAGAAAACCACTAGGCTAGGTGTGTTTGCTTGTCACAAAAATCACAAAAATATGCAAAATGGGAGTTCACTATGGTTTGAACCCACGCCCTTAGGATAAGAAGTGACATGAAACACACTTTGCTTGCCACTGAGGTGGCTGTTACATCAGTTTGTGAAACAACAATCATTAAATATAAAATGAACTTAGATGTAAAAATTTGAAAATGGCCAAGCCCTCTGAAACAACCGGCTGAAAATCATCAAAACAATGAAGTCGCCATCGAACGTCTTTTATCCCACATGTAGGGAAAGGTAAACATCGAGAAAACCTGAAAAGGGAGAAGTCACGGTCTTGCGACCGAGAGATCGGGTAAGGGAGTCTGTTACGCGAGGGGAAGGTATTAGCACCCCACACGCCCGTAGTACTCTACGGTATCCACTCTTGATATCTATCTTATGGGTGTGTTTAATCTATGCTTAATGTTTACTATACTACTGAAAGGAATGCATGCAAAAGAAAAGAGAAAAGAATGTAGGGAAAATAAAATTATGCTCGCTTGGGCCCTACCCCAATGCCTACGTATCCGTTTTGAGGAATCAGAGCTACCGTAGTTCGGCTCATATGTTTTTATTTGTTTGTTTTTTATGGACGAAGTTAATTCCGCCTTTTGCCGCAGCTCGACCTTTGGAGACTTGTGCATTGGCACAGAAGTAAATTAATCATGTCCTTTCCTGAAAAGAAAAGGTGCTCGAGCGCATAAAAGATTTGAGTTGGTTTATATTTTGTTATAGATGTTTTTTGTGGACGAAGTTAATTCCGCCTTCTGCCGCAGCTCGACCTTTGGAGACTTATGCGTTGGCACAAAAGTAAATTAATCGTGTCCTTACCTGAAAAGGGTTTTAAAGAAAAGTGCTCGAGCACACAAAATGGTTTGAATTTGTTTTGTATTTTTGTTGTAGATGATGACTGATTGACCTCAAGAGAGAGATATTAGCCACTTTTCTACTTAGCCATGAAAGGGGTCTTTGAGAATTGAACCACACCTATGCTTGAGATGGAGAACAATAAGATTGAGAAGAGACCCACTTATCGTTTCCCGTACTAAGCAAAAGCATGATTCTCATCAGTAGTTTTAAAGTGTTTTGAATTTCGAAAATAAAAAAGAAGTTTTAGTTTTAGATGCGTATGCAAAAGGGAGGAAGAAAAGTCAAAGGGGAATTAACCTATTTCTACACCTGATGTTATCGTGCGTGGTTAGACCTAAAGTTAGAATTTTGAGGGAATTCTACTTAATGTTAGCACGCGTATGAATTGCGGTAAAGTAAGAATAAAATAGAGTTGTGACGATACCGAACGGAGAAGATCCGTTGCCTCTTTAAGATTGTGCAAGCGGTAAGAAAATTCTATCAAAGTTCCCTTGGGCAAGTGATTGAAGAATTCACCCCGAGCATTCCACATTGCAAGAGTTATGTCGATGCTACAAAAATCTTGACAAACAAACAATAATGTCCGCAAAAAGTGAAACCAAAGCTAAGAAACCCAGAATACTTCGCACGAGCTAGCATCAACAAGCAAACAATCAGAGATCGAATGCTCAGAATAAGTGTCGAGACATCATCGATGTGAAAATAAATCGCAATCGAAAACTCAAGCATATCCGCATATCACACAACAAACCTGCATAAGACTCAAATTTCGAAAAACAACAGTGAATCACAAGTCTCAAGTAATCGAATAATTATGAATTAATTTCTAAAATCAAATAAAAAATCTAACAAATTTTGATTGATTTTTATCATTTTTATCATGGAAAGATATAGAAAAAAAATTAAAAAAATCCTAAACTCTACCTATTTTTCTTATTGTTTCATTAGCATTAGTCTTTATTAAATAAAGTTTAAAAGAAAATTTAAACTGAAATAAAAAACTAAAACAATTAGAAACAAATAGGGGGTGAAAATTGGAATAAGGGAGTCTGGTTAGCAAACAAAGCCGAGCGCTAGGTCCGTCAACACAATCCAACCACAACATTTTTGTCACTTCCAATATCTCTTCAAAAATGGTATGGGCCAAGGCTGCTTTTTGTTCACAAACTGCTCCAAACTGCAAAAAAACGTGTAATGGGCCTAGAGGAGAGTTGCAATTCGGAGGACAAATCACTCCAATTATCACCAGTTTCAATTCAACATGGTTATAATTATATTTAAAAAAACAATTAATAAAAACATTTGAAATAAAAAAAAGTAAAGTAAAGAGAATGAAGGAACATTGTGAATTGGAAGAGGAATTAGGGTTAAAAGTATCTCTTCAAATCCTTCTGAAACACAATTCTCCACACAGCGCTGCAGGGCCTTCTTCCTCAATAGCTCACCGCTGTCTCATAATCTCCGTCAAAAGCTCTATCGCTAAACAAAATCTCTCCGCCCTGGCTTCCATTCAATGGGACAATATTTACCGGGACTTCATCTTCGATGACACGACTCTCCTCTCAGTGAGCTCGCCTCTCAACCTCACCCGTTCGTCAACTCGTCTCAACACCTCCATCTCAGCAAACACCTCCACAAACTGTCGAGTTTGACTCAATCTCAAACATCTCAACATCTCTTCCGCCGATTCGTTTTCATTTCGATTTTCTCTGTGTTTCGTATCTTTTTGTGGATTCAACAACTTATTCGAAACAGAAATTGCAGAGCAACAAAAGAAGATTTACCTATCCGGTAGCTATTCGAAGTGGCGGCGTTAATCAGAAAAGACCAGCGGTATAGAAGGTATACTCTTCAATCTCTTGCCTATGCTATTTCTCTTCTTCTTCTTCTCTTTCGATTCTCCCGTTTCTGAATTGTTGCTACTGTGTATGATATGAAGGCGATGTTGTTGATGTTACCGTGATGTTGCTACGTTGAACATTGGTGATTGAAATTGTTGTGCATATTGATATTGTGATGATGCGTTGATGTTGTAGGTTGGTGTGAAGATGATGAAGTGCGTTGAAGTTTGATGTGAAGATGATGATGAGTGTTGAAGATGTGCAGAGATGATGAAATGGAGAAGAACCAAATGAAGACTGAAACAAGATTTTTTTGCAGGATTGTTGAAGATGAAGATTGGTATGATTCTTTTTTCTGTGTTGAAAATCGTATATCTCCCTATTCTGTCAATATCCTTCTTTGGTTCGCGCTTATGCTGTGCTTCTGTGTTGTTGATTCCTATTGTTGTTATTATTTGCAGTAGCCGTTTTGTTCTTGTGTATCATTTGTTGAGCACGGATCAGAGATGCAAGATTGTGAAGATTGAAGGTTGGGGAGTTGCAGAGATAGAGGTTTAGGGAGAAGAAGGTTGAGGTTTCAGAGTGTGAGTTCAGAGAATTTGGAGGATTGAGATGAGGATGGTGATTGTGATGGTGAACTGATGCGTGGATGAATATGGATGAAGGTTCTGAAACTGGAAAAATGGTGAGAATTGTGGAGTGAAGATGAAGAAATGAAGGTTTGTACCGAGAGAGTGAAGGAAGAGTTTCTGAGGATTTTTCTCTTGGTGAGTTTCTTTCTTAATGTAAAAAAAATCCTCTCTATTTTTCTGACTGTGGTCCTTTTTATTATGTATATGCTGGAGTTTGGTTGTAAAATAAGCCATGAGTTGGTTATGTGGTTAGTTAATTCTGTTAGGATAATGTTAGAAATTAGTTAGGAGGTTAGCAGGGTGGTTAACAGAAATTCTGTTTTGGAAGTTAAGATGCAGTTTGTTGTTATATCAGTTTTGGTTGTTGTTAGTTATGCTGTTTATGGTTTGTTAAGTTAGTTATGCTGTTAGAAGTGGTTAGAAGGTTTGAGAGTTTGTTATGAATTGGTTACTGAATGTTAGGTATGCTGTAACTGTTTTTGGGTTTGTTAAGTTGATTGAGATATGGTTTTGGATAGGAAGTTTTGTTAGGAAATGTTTTATGAAAAAAATTTTGTTTTTGCCTTTCATTATGCAGGTCCTTTTTGTTAAGCTGGGATTCAATTACAAGGTGGTTTTGAAAATGGTTGGGAGGTTTAGAAATTGTTAAATGGTTGTTTGACAGTTGGTTATGGTTTTGAAAACTGTTAGAGATTGGTTAAGGGTTGTTGGGAAAAATGGAAAGTTGGAATTGGTTAATTTCGGTTAGTAGTTGGTTTGTTGTTTTTTGTTGCAGTAAGTTACTTTGCTATAAAATTTATGTGCAGAGCTGCCTTTAGAGAATGGTTAGGGAATTGGTTTTGACAATTGGAAGTGTAGTGTATGCGGTTCATGCTTATGACAGTTTATCCAATATTTTTGCAGGTTTGGTTTATATCAGGGCTATTGGGAAGCAAAGGCAAAAGGAAAACACCAAGATGATATGAAGTTGGAACAAAGACGCATAACACGAAGTTTTGGAAGCTTGAAGTTTGAAACATGAAGAATGGTTGAAAATTAGGATAGGTTTTGGTAAAAATGTATAGATGTTATGTATAATTGTAATGGAATTTGGACTTGTATGTATTTGAATACACATTGGAATGTATGTTGACTTTATTTCCTCATAATGAAATGGCCTTTGTATGAATTCAAATAAATGGTATGAATTCAAAATATTTGCAAGGTAACCAAAAGAGACATGAATCTTGAATGAATCCAAGATAAGCTATTTGGATAATATTTTGATGGTTGGATGAATTTGATGCATGCTTTTTCATACTTGTGGTTTGAATTCCAAGAAAAGCCACGCAAATATTTAAGAACTTTGATTTTCTCCAAATCCACTTCAATTATTAATGAATGAATCTTAATCAAACTACAGATTCAGTGAATCCCTAATTCAATTCAATTCCTCAGTATAAACCAAACTTGTGTGTCAAGCAATAAGCATTTGAAATAATGACACCTTGATCACAATCAACATCTTGTACCATGTCCCGACTATATGAGCACTAGAACAACGACGTCTTGGACCCCTTCTCAACAGATGATAATGACTATGCCCTGAGGGATTCTTTGCAGATGAATATGAAAGATGAGACATGCGAATACCTTGATATGGAATGAACCTCAGGTAGAATGCTGACAAGCTCAAGTATGAAAATGTATAAAACCTGATTTTTAGCTTCGTCTCATAAAACCTTGCAACTTGACATTGAGAAGAAAAGAATAGCATCGTAGCTTGATGATGATAAGGTCCATGAAATGAAAACCTAGCTTCGAACAGATTATTAATGGAGAAATCAACCGAAACAAGCTTGTGCGAAGATGGGAGCCTTAAAGGCATACACCAACCCTTATTCCTCGAAATCCATGATCTTATGCCAATTTATTAATTAATGATGCATGATGTGTTAGATGACCTAATGTGAGAAAAATGCAAAAATGCGTAAGCCAGATAGGAAGTAAAAGGGTAGGACAAATTTGGGGTATTACACCCTCCTTCTTCTTCCTCCTGCACGCTAATAGTTACTGTAATAACAATATTTTCTATTTTTTTCAAAAAACTCTAACTTCCTCATTTCTCAACCAAATTCAGAAATGTAAAAATGAAACTTGCTTAGAATTTCGCAAGGATTTCAAATATGTAATTAACTTTTATTTATTCCCACTATAACTCACGAATTTCTACCTGTACCAAACTGAAAACCTAAATATCCAAAAAATTCAGTTTCAAAATTCTCATCTCACAGTCAATTAAAATGAAATTTAAGGATATGGTTAGCTTCATAGACATGATATCTACATTTTATCTTTTGAAAGTAAGTGCAAATGATGCTTGTATCAAGATTTTAAAGTTGGAAAAACTTACCTCTTGATGCAAAAATTCAATGGCCTCTACACGACTTCCAGAAGTATTATGATGATTACTTTAGCTTCCTGGGACCTTGGTGAGTATGTTGCATCTTTTACTTTGCCTTGAAAGTGTCTGGATTGATCTACTCAAGTCAAGTTGCAATGGTGGATTTTGAAAATGGTGGATGATGAAAATGATGTTACAGTGAGGAAACATGGGTATGGATAGTTTCTATATGATATATATGAAGTGTTTAGATGATTTGTTTGGATAATAGTTGCAAGAGGGATGAGTTTCGAAGTTAAGGTTTCAAAAGCTTAAAAATGGTGGTTTTTGGTCAATTCGGGCTTGAGAGTGTATAAGAGGTTTTAAGGGATTTTAAAATCGTGTCCTCAGTTGCATAAGAGTGTCTTGATATATAGGAAAAGGTTTGGAGACTTGATATGGTCAGATTACCAAGATCACATGTTATGGCATTTTTGCTTGTTTTTGAAGCAAAGTGGAAAACCAAAATCCCAATGTGTGGTACAAGATATGTAGAGTGGTTGAATCACTTTAAACATGCTTATTCTGAGTTGCTAGGTTGAGTGTGTGCAGATGAAGCCATTGAGAGGCTCAAGAAGGGTTGACATTGTGAAAAAGCTTGCTTTACAAGAATTGATATATTACTTTTTGCAATTTCAACCATAAATGGTATCAAGACTTGGACAAAACATCAAATCCTTGTGTAATACACTTAGGGTATGTGTAATTACTTAATTATGGAGAGATTTAGAAGCAACATGGCCTGAAAAGTGAGATTGAATAATAAGGTTATGAGATTTGATTATGAGTTCATCACAAAAATGACTTATAATTCAAGTTTATCATGCCAACTTAAAGTCTTCGAATCTCCTAGCTCAAAAATGATCTCTTAAAGTTCTTGGACATTTTGAAAATCTGGGAACATCCTCTACAACTTTTATGTTGTACATTTTTGAAGAATCAATTTGGAACTAGGTGAAAAGTTGTCATGAAGTTAGGTCAAAATCCTGACTAAAATACTCAAAATTTCACTAAGTATTTTTAGTATCATGGACATGTCTTCATAAATTCATAACTTGAAATCCAAGAATTTCTAGAAAAAGTTATGCCCTACAATGTTTTAGGTCTCATTGAGATCTACAACTTTCATGTTGGAAGTTTTCCTTGAATCATCTTGCATCATGGTAGAAATTTGGCACAAAGTTATGAAAAAATGTTAACTTTCCAACACTTAGGAAAATTTTCTAAGTCCTAGAATTTTGAGTTTTCAAAGATAACTTTGAATTTTCAATTTCTTGATGAACAAACTTCATATTTTGACATGTCTTGATGAAATATGATTTTTGAAACTTGATTTTGATCAAAAAAGTCAAAGTTTGACTTTTCAGTATACAGTTGACTTTTCATAAGTTGACTGAAATTCTTCTGTCAATCCAATGATCTTCAGAGGTGATTTGAATTATGCAATTAGGTAAAGATGGAGAATTTGAATCCTTGAGATCATGTTCTAAATCAATAAGTCATTTCTTTGGTCAAAAGTCATGAACTGAGCCTTCTCAATCAAAACCCTAATTTTGACCATTTTGCCCTTTTGGTGTTTTGATCAAATTTCTTTGAGGAATTGTGATCCAACTTGATCAATTGACATATATGAGTTCATAATGTTGACATGGATCCAAAATCTTGAAGTTTGACTGTAGGTTTACCGTAATTGACTTTTTATTCAATACAATTGATTTTAGGTCATCTGATCAAATGATTGAGCAATTTTGTGATCCAAGACTTGAAACTTTGACATGAGAAATCTTGAGGGTTCCTAATGATCCATGAAAGTCATTTGAGGCCTTAGAATTTCAAATATCTTTGTACAAATTCAAACCCTAATTTTGAGTTGTCAGTGTTAAGGAGGTGCCTTGAGCTGATCAAATCTTGTGTAGTCTTGAATCAATGGAGATCTTATGAGAGATTTCTTGAGAAATGAGAGGGAAAATTTTGGGGTACAATACTATCGCTTATGGGATGCCAAACCGAGCGAGGATATTTCTTTTATAGAAGTGAATGGCGTTTCGGGCGATGATTTTGGCCAAAGCTTCGACTTCTATCCATTTGGTGAAGTAGTCGACTGCTACAATCAGATATTTGTTCTGGTTGGTTCCGACCACGAATGGACCAAGGAGGTCTAGTCCTCACCAGGAAAAAGGCCAGGGGGAGGAGAGGTATTTAAGCTCGTTAGGTGGAGTTAAATGCACGTCTCCGTGCCGTTGGCATTTATCGCATTTTTTACGTGCTCTTTCTTATTGTGTTACATGGTGGGCCAATAATATCGTACTCGCAAAGATTTTCTCGCGAGGGATCTCCCACTCAGATGTTGGTCGCTGATGCCCTCGTGATTTCGAGCAAGACATGCTCTGCCCCACTTCGGTCGACACATTTGATAAGGGGAATGGAAAACTCCCTCCTGTAAAGTTTACCTTCGACCAAAACGTATGAGCAAGCTCTCCGCCTGATAACGACCGCCTTTTTTGGATCGTCAGGGAGTTTTCCCTTATTGAGGTAATCGTGTACAGGGGTCATCCAACAATCGCTGTCCCCGATAGAGAACACTTCTAAGGTAGAGTATGGCTTTTGGGTGCTCGGTCGAGGAAGTATTTCCTGTATCACTGACTTATTCCCTCCTTTTCTCTTCGTGCTCGCCAGTTTAGATAATCAATCTACACGGGCGTTATGTTCACGGGGAACATGTTGTATGTCCACAAATTTAAATTTCTTTTTCCTCTCTTGGACCAGGGCCCAATATTCAACGAGTTGGTCATTTTTGACCTGATATTCACCTCAGACTTGAGAGGCGAACAATTGAGAGTCGGTGAAGATTTTTACTTCCTCGGCTCCCAGATCTTTGGCCAGTCGTAAACCTACGAGGAACGCCTTGCATTTGGACTAATTGTTGGAGGTTGGAAAAGATAGGGCGAGGGAGACCTTGATTAAGGTCTCTTCCTTGTTTTCCAATATCATGCTTGTGCTACTTCCGGTCAAACTTGAGGCGCAGTCGACAAAGATCGTCTAACGACGCAATCCATCAGGATCTGCTGGCGAGGTCATTTTATCTACGAAGTCGGCCAAGGCTTGAGCCTTAAGGGATTTCCTGCTCTCTTATTGGATATCAAATTCAGAGAGCTCCAAGGATTATTTCAAGATTCTTCCGGCCATGTCTGGTATTCCGAGCAGTTATTTTATTGGTTGATCTGTCCGAACCACTATGGTGTGGGCCAGGAAGTAGTATTTGAGTCTCCTCGTTGCGTTAACGAGGGTTAAAGCTATGTTTTCGATTTGTTCATATCTTTATTTTGGGCTCTGCAGGGACTTGCTCGTGAAGTAAATTGGTCTTTATCCCTCTAGAGTTTCTCTTATCAGTGTCGTGCTTATTGCCTCAGAGGCAACATCCAGATAGAGGTAGAGGACCTCATCTTTCTCGGGCCGAGAAACGACGGGTGGCTGCGACAATGCTCATTTTAAATGTATGAGGGCCTATTAACATTCAGGTGTCCACTCGAAGGCGGATTCCATGCGCAAGAGTTTGAATAAGGGAAGCGCGTGCTGGGAGGACTTTGCCACGTATAGAG